TTCGAATCCCGCCGCTGTCATGCCTTTTGCCATTCCCCTTCCCCTGCAACGCTGCCTACTTCCGCCTACGTGTCCACAGCCCAAGCCAATTCTTGCAGGATTGCATTTCGCTGCAGCAGTATAGCCGCGTAGTGCTAGTGCGTTGCAAAGCACTTAGCAGAGACTGCCGTGCCGCCTGCAATTAGTGCATCTGTAAATGCAGTGCTCTAGCACTACGAGAAGTCTTGGCGTCAATGCAGCCGGAGACAATGGGCTGAGGCAGAGCAGGTGAGAAAAGGTGCGTCAACAGACAGAATGGGCTCAGCCGGGATTTGAACCCGGGACCTCTCGCACCCAAAGCGAGAATCATACCCCTAGACCACTGAGCCACACTAGCCGTCGACGCTCCTGCCTCCTCCACTTCCATCCATCCATCCATCCATCCGTCCGTCCATCCAATCTACCCTGCACCCTCTTTGTGCATTGTCACTTTCCAACACACACTCACACGCATCCACGCAACCGTGCCCACGCAAGCACTTACACGCCGACACTCCCCACACCACTGCACCCCACCTAGTGCTCGCCTTGTCACACATCGCGAGCTCGCTTGCACGCACCCGGGGCCATGGTCGGGGCCACCGCGACTGACCAGTGCAACAGCGAGGACAGGGGCTGTATGCACGTGAATGCCAGTGTTTGGGGCGTGGCGTGACGTGACTCTTGTAGTGGCAACCGCGAACGATGAGGTGGAGGGGAGAGTGGTACTGACGCCCAGTTTAAAGGAGGCACCACAACTACTGGGACTACTGTTGGGTGGTTGGACTTCGAGCCCGGATAGCTCAGTCGGTAGAGCATCAGACTTTTAATCTGAGGGTCCAGGGTTCGAGTCCCTGTTCGGGCGTCGCCTTCCCCTTTTCTCTCCGTCCCCACCGCCAATCAACAATGTGCAATTCAACGCCGTCTACATCAGCATCCGCATGCTAGCGTGTAGATGTCATCACCTGTCTAGTGGAATCCATGCGTAATTGACCAGTCTCAAATTGACACGCCTGCTCCCTATCTCTCTGTCTCAGTTTAAAGCCGCCATCATCTCTTCTAAGGTGTGCATGTCGGCGGTGGTGGCGGTGGTGGCAGTGGTGGTGGTGGTGGTGGTGGCGGCGGTGGTGGTGGTGGTGGTGCGTGTGTGTTGGTGTGTGCATGTTTGAACAAGTAGATAGTGGCGATTGCTGTGAGGATCGGAAGCCTTATGAGGTGGAGGAAGAGGCGTGCCCGCGTGGCCTAATGGATAAGGCGTCTGCCTCCTAAGTAGAAGATTGTGGGTTCGAGTCCCACCGTGGGTGTCTTTTGCCCAATTCAATCCACCCTACACTAGAGCAGACATCGATGTGACTAGGCCTTAGAGAAGCACGCCTACGTGCATCAGCATTATGAGCCAAACAGCATGCCACTGGTCTACGTCCGGGCACCGCGAGTCTTCTTATAC